ATTAATACTACTAAAAAATAATCCAAGCAGAAAAAATTGTAAATCTTGGTAGTAATTTATATCAAAACGATTCAGTACAAGCCCCTAATAATAGTTATAATAACTTAATAAACTTAGATCCTAACGAATCCACAATAGTAGAACACATATACGAAGATATCATAAGTCCAATAAAAGTGTCATTAGCTAGAGAATACGAGGGTGAGGCGTATAGTAGGTTTACCACGTATTATCCAATACGGGTGATTCGACAAAACCTAATATGTGTACACAAAAAAAAAAAAAAATATAATATATAACATTTAAATTAATTGAAAAATACTAACTCTAAATATTACCATACCATATGAAACACTGCTTAGTGAAAATCATTTTGAATAGCATAAACAAAACTATTCTGGAAATATCCTATATAAAACATACAAATTAACAGTTAGGCAATTATGAATAATAAATATTAACTCACAGTTAACTACATTATACATTATCTTCCTTTGTTGTCCGATGTTTTCTGTAATACTATGTTTTTTCTAGATAAAAAACTAAAATTTATTCCAGAAATGAAACTTATTTAGTTAATTGGAAAAAATAAAAGTACTTGCTAGGTACACGCATAGCAAATTAAATAATGAAAAAAAAATATCAAAATATTCTGTGATAATGACATAGGTAATAACCGTACATATTACGTTCAATTAGTTAATTAGTAGTATATTTCTTATTTATGGGACACATTTTTTTTTTAATTTGTTTTTTTTAAACTAATGTAGTTAAATACGGTGAAAACGATGATGAAGTTAGAATTTGGAGCTCGGACAAAGTTTTGAAGTTATGACACTTCAAAGTTAGTAGGCACCTATATGACATGTTAACTTAAGAAATTCACAGATTCGGGCGGTCTATCCTAAATTTTTTTTAAATTGTTTTTATGATAACTGATGCAACAATAAATTAGTAATTACCCTGTGATCTGCTTGAGGTGGTGTTTCATAACAAATCGAGGGATATATTAAATTTTCGGAGCGGAGGCACGGCACTGTGTGGCGTGTGCTGCAAACTGTGTAATCACTGCAGGTCTGCACTATTTGAAATCTGAAGGGTCATAATTTTGAAATTATGTCCGACCGCCAAATTCTGACTTCACCATCGTTTTCAGCGTACTTAATTACATAAGTTTAAAAAAAAAATTGCAAAAAAAAAAAATGTTTCGCACGGCGCACAGTAGAAATGTTCTGGATAATATGATTGTTTTTATAAAATAATAACGTTTGATAACAGTCAGTGGCGCCGATCCCTATGTTCAGGTATTGCAGATGCAATACCTAATTTAGGTGGGTGGTGCCGTACCACCATGGTGGCCACTGGCCAGTGGCGGGTGGTACACTGGTACATGGTTGTGGCCTGTGGGTACTGGATACCTTAGATCCTGATCTAAGCCCTAAGGACTAAGGAGGGTAGGTACTATAAAGATATAGAGTATTGAATATAGGTCAATGGGCAATGAGTAAGAATATAAGCTGTATACGAACTGTACAAGGTTTTTATTATTATTATTATGGTGATTGGCGACTATAGAAAATAATAAGTATACATCAGAATCATAATCATCAGATTCTGAGATTATCTTATCTTACGATAATTGAGTCCCTGTGATAATAATATCTTGCTAATTACAGTATTACCAAATTAAAATATCATAGATTAATAAACACGGTAATGAATACGAATACGGCTATAAATAAAAGTTGTTGATACCATAATATAATATTCTATTTGAATACCTATTTATAAACAAAAAACCCTCAAAATCAAAACATTCAAAACACAATAATTTTGATTTAGGAAACCGAGACGTTGTTATGTAGTACGTCAGTCGTCAGTGCTGTAAATTCTTGTCATTAATAATAATTATTTCATTTGTTTTATCCGTACCGATTTTGCCGTTTAAGGTACTTAGCGTTTCAGAGATTGACATTTGTGTTTTTTTTTAAACTGTTATTTTTTTTTAAAATGAATTCATATTGTGAAATATGTAAAAGAGAAAGGGGACAATTAAATAAAGTTAATTGGAAAAGACATATTAATGCGTGCAAAATAAAAAATAATAAAAAACATGTCATTACACCACCTCCGTCAGATTTTTCCATAACAAATTATTTTTTCAAAAAAAGAAAAATTGAAGAAACCATAGTTTCAGGTATGTTACACAAAATGAATATCACCTATTTATATTTATTATTTCAATATTTTATGATGTTTCGAAAATAATATTATGATATCTTTCACTCGGCAGGTATGTAAAAAACATAAGCCTCAAATTAAGTATTTATTTTTGTACCTATATAATTTGTTAGATGAAAACTTACAGTGTGGAACAAACACCACCTATGATGATCCTTTAAAATGTGTTGGTCGTTCATTGGACTCAAACTGTAAAATTAGTCCATCATTGCTATGTTCAGGTACTTATTATATTATATGTAAAATTAATTTTCTACTTATTAATCAACAAATTCAAAGCTATTTTTTTTAAATGTTATTATGATACATTTTAAATAAAATCATAATTAAATTATTATTGGTTTTGTGTTAGAATAAACTTTAAAATAAGTATTAATGGGTTGTTTAAAGAGTGTTGATTATTTATTTTTGTTTTATAATTTATTGTTAGATGAAAACTTAAAGTGTGGAATAAAAACCACCTATGATGATCCTTTAAAATGTGTTGGTGGTTCATTGGACTCAAACTGTGAAATTAGTCCATCATTGCTGTGTTCAGGTACTTATTATATTATATTTAGATGTAAAATTAATTTTCCACTCATAAATCATCCAATTTAATGCTATTTTTTTAAAAATGTTATTATGATACAATTTAAATAAAATCATAATTAAATTATTATTGGTTTTGTGTTAGAATAAACTTTAAAATAAGTATTAATGGGTTGTTTAAAGAGTGTTGATTATTTATTTTTGTTTTATAATTTATTGTTAGATGAAAACTTAAAGTGTGGAATAAAAACCACCTATGATGATCCTTTAAAATGTGTTGGTGGTTCATTGGACTCAAACTGTGAAATTAGTCCATCATTGCTGTGTTCAGGTACTTATAATATTTTATTTTGTAGTTAAAAATAGTTTATACATAATAAATGTTAAATCTTTGAATTTTAAATTTATTATTTATATTAGCTTCTTTTTTTTATTAAATAATATAATGTATTAAATTGTTATCAGTGACTAATATAAAAATAAGTCATATTTTATTATAAATTGTTTTAGATCAAAATTATGACTGTATTGCGAAGAACAAAAATGATTCTTTATTATTAGATGATTTATCAGATATAAATCATGAAAATCCTGAATCATATTCTTATTTAGAAAGAAATACAAGTATAGGTATGGATTTAAATTTTAAATTTTAGTAGTTATTTATTAAATAATATTTTAAAAAATTGTATCAAAAACTTATTGTTAATTTTTTCAATTCTAGTTTGGAAAAATGATCCAGCTATACTAGCAAGATATGAATCTATTCCGTTAGAACTAAAACAACACTTTTATACTTTGGGACCATGTCAACCTATGCCAGAAGATTTACCAGATAAATCATTTCCTCGAGATTCATACGGTCGTCGATTTACTAATTTATGGTACAGTGCAACTCTCCCGGATGGAAGTAAAGTTCATCGTGATTGGTTGTCTTATTCTCCTAGTATGAATAGAGTTTACTGCTTACATTGTATGATGTATGGTATTAATTTGCATAAATCTACCCGCTCTACTTGGGTTAAAGATGGGTTTAATCTATGGATAAATGGGTCTGCAAGTATTTATAAGCATTCAATGTCTGACAATCATATTACTTCATCCATAAAATTTAAAATTAGTACTCGATGTATTCCAATTATTCCCAGTTTGCAATGTGAACAAAAAATGCAAGTAAGACTTAATAGAGAGGTGGTCGCTGAACTTATAAATATAGTAATTTTTTTAGCCCGTCATAACTTGGCATTTCGGGGCCATAGAGAAAGCTGGTCTATGGCTACATCAACTTCTAAAGGCAATTTCAAAGATTTGGTAATTCTGATTGCAAAATATTCAGCTGCCATGTCTGAGCATATTACAAAAATCCAATTAAGAGGGAAATCTGAACTTTCGTTTATAAGTTGGCAGCGGCAAAATCAACTCATTGAAAGTATAGCTGATGAAATTTCTTTTAATGTACAAAAATCCATTCAAGCCTGTAAAATGTTCAGTATCTCTGTAGATTCCACTTTTGATACATCAAGAAAGGAACAAGTTTCCTTTATAGTGAGGTATGTTTGTGAAATATCTGGCAATATTTTTGAAAGACTATTGGCTATGAAGGAATCGGCACATACAACTGGTATGGATTTATTTATCCTTTTCCAAAAAGTTATGGACAAATTAAATTTAAACTGGAAAGAAGACCTTATAGGCCAGTCATACGATGGAGCTGCTAATATGCGAGGGGAATATCAAGGCCTTAAGACCCATATACAAGAAAATAACCAACAGGCAAAGTACATATGGTGTCATGCTCATCGCCTCAACTTGGTAGTTAAAAATGTAGTATCTTGCAGTACCTATGCGGTTGATTTATTTGGAAATGTTGAATCTCTGTATGCTTTTATATGGTGTTCCAAGAAAAGAGTAGCATTGTTTCGAGAATATCAAGAAAAACATCTTCATAAATTACATTCTGGTCAAACAATGGCATTAAAAAGAGTAAACACAACAAGATGGTCATCTCATTCATTAGCATTAGATACAATATTAAGCAGGCACTATTCAATAATAAAAACTTTAGAAGATATTCGGACCACAGAAGGCCCTGGTGATGCCAAAACAGGAGCTACTTGCAGTGGTCTATTAAACTATTTAAAATCCAATCAATTTCTGTTCACAGCTTTTTTGTTCAAAAAATTATTCAATATTCTTGAACCATTAAACAAGACGTTACAAACCAAAGATTTAGACTTATTCACAGCCACTATGTTGATAGATAGGGTAAAAAACAAAGTTAGTTTACTTAATAACAGAGAAACGGATAACAATTTTAATTCAATTATTTTAGAAGCTGAGAATTTTTCTGAAAATAGTAAAGTTGAATTTACACCTTTACCAATCCTGCGAAAAAGGAAAGTTCCTAAAAAATCTGACGAATTAAGTAACGATGAACCGATAATTGATCCTAAGCAAAAATTTAAAATTAATTGCTTTTTTGTAGTCATTGACCAAGTTCAAAATGAGCTGAATGAACGATTTAGTACCGACAATACTGGTTTGTTAAATGATATATCACTTATTTCTAGGAGACGGATTTTAGAAGTAAGATCTAATCCAAATTCTCTCCCAAAAGATGCTTTTAATGCCGTATGCAATATTTATTCAAAATATTTAAACTATGAAAAATTAGTTAATGATTATATTCGGTTTGCCGCTAACATAATTGAAATAGAGCAGTCGAATTCTCTTCCAGAATATTTACATCCAGTTGCTATGAATGACGAAGAAGAATTAGCTGATCAGAATAACAACTCTGACCTTGAATTAAATGATGATGATGATGATCAAAATAACATAAGTTCAGTGTCAAGTGCAGCAGATATGTTTAAAATGTTTTGTGTTGCAAAATTAAATGGTGTGTTTCCAAATCTTTATATTTTGCTTAAGATAGCAATAACGTTGCCTGTGACAAGTGTTTCAACTGAGAGGTCATTTTCCAAATTAAAACTTGTTAAAACTAAATTACGAACAACAATGAGTGAAGACCGTTTGGAAAGTCTCATGAAAATAACTTGTGAACCGGATATAAACATTGATACTGAGAAAATAATTGACAATTTTTCAAGAAAAAGTAAATCTCTTATAAAAGTATTACAATATTAAACTTTTTGTTAATAAAATGTGTTGTTACTTAAACATTTTTGGAATTGATTTTAAAAAAAAAATTATTACAAAGATTAAAGAATGTTAAAAGTTAATGGTTTTTTTTTGTTTAATAAATTTTTGTTACTCTGACCAACATCAAGTATTTGGTAAATATACTTAATTGTTAAATACAACCATGTAAGTGAATACAGAATAAGTGATGGACAACTATTAGTACTTATTATTATTTTTGGTTTCTGTGTGTTATAAATTATAATATATAAGAAACATCTGAAGTTCTGCGAGTCATTTTCTGTAACTGTTATAGCTATGAATGGGGGTGTGGGGGCATCGCCCCCACGGGTCTATTCGGAAAAAAAATGTGGTGGTCCCTACCAATCTTAGATTTTATTTTTATGCAATACCTTATGAAATTGACATCGGCGCCACTGATAACAGTCGGAGAAATGCTTACGTCACAGACATGCGTATCACAAAGTTGCTGACATACCTATTTAATTTGTCATGCCTACGTCCTCGCCGAATCACTCAGTGACAATGGGACTCCCCGTGCCTGCGCGTGCGGCGGTGTTATATAGTTATCTTATAGCTGTCTCAGCACATATGCTTCACTGACCTATGTCAATGGTTTACAGTAAAAAGTTCACACCCCTATTACATAATATATGAAATAATATTTAGACGACTGTCTACAATATACGACAGTCCCATTTGTTTTTTGAAAAAAAGGGCCTCATTTTTTAATAATTTTTTACATACAATTATTGTCTTATTACTACATTAAATACTAATCTACTTTTACACTATATTTCTGTCTCGGCTTATTCGCGTCGTTGACTATAAAATTATGCTTAAATGTTAATTTGAATTTACTAATTTATTTTTGAATGCGTTGTTTTTTTTTTTTTTTTAAACAAGCAATGATATACTAACACAGTATAAAATAAATCCTAAGGACCGCCTAGGCAGCGAAAAATATTTAATGCTAGAAACCCAGATAGTAGACTTTTCTAACGAAGTAATCTTGTACAATTATTCCAACGTATATAGTAATATTCCAAAAAGAATGACAATAGCCACAATTCACGAATTAAACATACAAAATAATTAACACAAATTACAACAAATTAAATTTAAAACAGACAAATCGATATTTCAACCGCCGTAATTATTTTATACTGTATAAAATTAACTCAGAGTATTAATACAAAAAAAAAAAAATCTCTACCTGTGACAATATTATGTGAGGATCTAGAACAGTGTTTCCCAACCTTTTTACCACCACGGACCACTTTGACAATATTTTATAGGTCGCGGACCACCTCAATTTTACTCAAACTAGGAAGAACTTTTTTTTTTTTGCTCATTGACAAGAATAAACAAAAATTTATTGGAACATTTTTATTATTTTAGTGTACTATTATATATAATTATTAAACTTTACTAATAATTTACTTAGGGCCGTTCTTACAATTACGGCCCTTAGTGTAATTTTTGTATACGATAAGATAACCGTATATTACGGTAAAATAAAATATTTTTCGCTGTTTAAAAAAAAAAAAATAATTTTTAATAGAAAACTAAGAAAGGTACCGCGGACCACCTATGACTGGCCCACGGAACACCGGTGGTCCGCGGACCACCGGTTGGGAAACACTAATCTAGAAACAATTAGAAACATATAATTCATGAATACATATTGATGATTAATACATTTTTTTATAATATAAATATAAATTGAGTTATATTTTATACTGTATTATAATGTATGCAATTTTTACTCAGAATATAGATACAAAAATTTATGTGAATACATATAAGGTTATAATAATTGATTGGCTCTTTGTGGAAAATGTTTTCTTAGAGATTTTTCTCAGTCTGAAGTATAATATTTTCATAGTAGTATATATTTTTATATTCACAGCCAGCTTTTCCAGGGGAAAAAAAAAGTTCAAGGCGGGAATGTCCGCTTGGAGCACTCAGATTTACTCACTATTTCACACTGATTGTCTACCAAATTTCGTCTCACACAAAAATATTTAACATTTACCAATTTTAAAACTAAAATAATTATTTCAAGAAAAACACAAATTATTAAATCATAGTTTTTTTATTGTTACAAATAAATTCTTAATTATATTTACACAAGTTTTCTTACTTCTCTAGTAAAAGGTACATATTCTACAATACGATCATGAATTAAGAAACAGTAAGCAGTCACACCTGTGAGCGATTCTGAAGCTTCAATTTCCAATTGAACATCCACTGCTGGGGCTGTGGCTGAATCGTTCTGCTTCGAAGTATCGATAACTATAATTGGTGCGTTTGTCAGAAAAGTAGAAGGACTCAATATCGGGTTGCGAATACTTTTTTCATAGTACGATTCTTGAAACGATGTATTCATATTATATAATAAGGTGAAATTATTTTTAGTAAAATCTAAATTCAAATTATCGTATGGATAAGCTATAGAGTTCAGAAATACTTTAACGTTTGTTAAATTACAATGATCAAATATACTACAATCTTTTGTTAGCAAATTTTTGCGTCCTTTTTGTAATCCAATTATGATAAATCGTGGTTTTTCTAATTTTTAAGCAGTTTTCAAATTCCATATAACTTTTTTAGTGGTTCCGAGTTCAGGATATTCAAAAGTTTCAAAAGATCTAAAAGGGATAAATAGACTTTTTTCTTTTTCTATAGGTTTCAATAATTTTAACCTTTCTTCGTCGTCGACCGTTATATGTGGCACCTTCCAGACTATTTTATTTAAGGTGACTTTACCTTCAGTAGCAGTTGCACCATTTTTAACTTGTAAAGCATTTAAATCACTATGACTTCGGGTTAATATTAATTCCAATCTAAAATTCACTAATATTCTTTTATAGTCTTCAAACAATCCTAACCAATATTTTAATGGAATGCAAGCACTAAATTCACCTTTGTCATTATCCGATCGCGTTGCGTTTTTAAAATTCCAGCCAGCATTTTCATAACAATTGTAGTTATCTGGCGTACCGGATAAGTAACCTTTCAACGAGCTGGTGATTCCAAGAACACGTGTGCTATCTAATTCTATCCCATTGATTTCCAATCGTATTTGTTCGAAAAGGTATTTGTTCGAAGAGTAACAGTTATTAGTTAGTTTCACTTTGGTAGCATCAGTAATTGTTCCTTCCAAAAAAATAAAGCTTTCGTTTAGATATGGGTAGACATCCGTTTGCTGGATTGATATACGTATATCATCATTATTATTAATTGATGTAGTATACGGTGTGTATGAATGATATTCAATTTTCGTAATTTTAGAATCCGTCTCGTACTGTGAAGTTATATCTAAAATATCACTCTCAGTCATTCTGCTTTAATTGATAACCCAGAGCTTGTAAAATTTTTTTATTTTTTACCGTTAATTTTTTTATCTTATTTGATGTTGCTGGTAGCACTTTAGTCTTATGACTAGTTGTGCTGATCCGAAGTAGCGGGTTTATATTGAATTTCAGTCCGATCTCAAGAGCCGTAACGTTTAATATGTAACACGATTGTCAATGCCTCACCAAAATTATCAATCGGATTATGATCTTGATCCACTAATTGAACGGTTATCGAATCAATATTTGTTTTATTCAATTTGTAATATATTAAATTTGGCGGTAACTGAATTACTTTCGACCCTATCCTTTCACTCGGGAAAAACTCATAAATAGAATGACTTTGAAGATGGTTGTTGAATGATCCTTGAGCTATATTGCACATTACTTTTATAGAATTAATTGTGTTTAAATTTACAGCTTTTTTCGATCGAAGAATTTCATAGTATGGCTTATATACTCGTTTTTCAAAACCGAATACAGGTGCTATACTATATGGATACTCAAAGTGTAGTATCCCATTACATTTTATATACGATCTGAAATCATTAGGGTCAACAGTAATGTCGAATGTTAAATTGGTTAAGTTTTTCTTATTATAGACATCTATTTGCTTCTTAACTCGTTGCTTAATATCTTCAATCTCATAACAACCCTCTTCCAATGTAATAAAACATATTGTATGAGTAGATGGAGGGTGTTCAGTGAAGGACCAGTCGACCTCAGTCGACGATGAGACTTTTTGAAGTGTAAGATGCCCCTAGATGTACGGTGTATAGGCAACTTAATGTGCCCCTGGATTCAGTGCATAGGCAACCTAGTGGGCGCCTATAATTTTGAAGCATAGGCAATTTAAGATGCCCGTGACGAAACCTCGCGGCGGCTGACAATACGAGGAACGAATGGAAGGAAGTGGTACAACGGAGTCAAGGATGGTACAGTTTAAGTATGGGACCGGGGTCCCTGTGGTCTGATCGGTCTGTTGCAATGACCACAGGGCGCAATTACAATTTAGGCTGAACTTAAAAATACTTAAAAACTACGGCAGCTGAAAGTCCGGTCCGGTGAGCACTGCAATCCGACGACCTGAAGCGGCCACTCATACAACGCACTGGGTTGCTGGCGGACTTACGCGCTTGACTCTGGCACCAGTCCCGAACTCGGGCAAGAAATTGGATTCCCCACGAAGACTGGCAGGAACGACGTGATAATATATATGATGTACTTACTCGATCGACTGCAGTTGCCAATGGCCAGCACGAAATGTGCCAAGACGTTGTACTTTGACGTTGACGCAATGTCAACGACGGGCGATAATTTAATAACAGAAAAATGTATACGATTTGAAGTTGCCGCAATGGCGTCAACAAAGATTTTATTGAGTTTGATGGTACAGAAAGAATATAACGTCTCGTGTATATAATATACGACGAGACGAACGGACGAGTAGGTACGACAACAATGATCCGAATGATACGGAAAAAAACAATAGTGAAATTGATATCATTAACAACGATATCAATTGAACATAATAATTAATTTAAATAATGATAATAGGAAAGAATAGTAGATAGGAGTAATAATTTTAATGGCGCTTTGCTCGGAGAGGAAAGCAGATAACACCGA